GCGAGCCCAGGCCGGCGCCAGGGGCAGCCGCAACCGCAACAAGCGAGCAGCGGGGCCCGCCATGGCCAGCCGGCAACAGGAACAGGGCGGGGCGGGAGCAGGCGGAGCTGCGGCTCATACGGCCCCGGAGTCCCGGCCCCGCCCCGAGCCAGCGCCTGAGGGGGAGGGGAGACATCCCCCACCCCCGCGCGCAACCGCACAGGCCTCTGGCCACTTCGGTGGCGCTCAGTATCTGACCCGTCAACGGCACGCAGGCGTCTGCCCCCCGCAATAACTGCACACGCATCCCTGCATCCCCCTCAACTCCACACACACTCACTCTGTTCCTCTCGTCACTACACACACACACCTCTGCCCCCTCAAATCTACCCACACAAGCCTCTGCTTCTCATCACCTCCACACACAGATAGTGACACTCCACCCCATTCCTCATCTCCGCTAGTTCACCGGCCTGCTTTCTCCTCTGGGCTCCTTGTCGGATCTCAGGTTGCGGACACACAAACCGTTCAGAGCCCTTTCAAAAGGAACACTTCAGCTATGTTCACACTTCAGCTGTGTGGGGAGGAGCTGAGAACAATTCCCATGAAGGGGAAAAGTCTCTCATTTTAAGACTCCTTCATCCAGGTTTAAAGTTAGAGGCATTCTGGTGCCATCCCAGTTCCTTTTTCCAGGCTGGCGTGATGAGAAGAGAGGATAGACTTGTACCTATAAACTAAACAAAGTGTGTGTGTGTGTGTGTGTGTGTGTGTGAGAAAGGCCAGTGTGTGTGTGTGTGTGTGTGTGTGTGTGTACACTCTTTTGTTAGTGTATATGTGTACCTCTCCACTATTCAACTGCTACATTCCTCCCCCTTTTCTCTCCCTGCCCAGCCTGTGCCTCACCCATTGACTCCTCAATTTACATCTTCTACTGAGTGGCTCTCTGACATGTAGACCAGCCTCTGTCTTCTTTACTATTCCTTCCATCCAGGAACAGCGCACACACCAACAGCAGATGCTTCCTCACCCAGACAAAGGGTTTTTAAACTCAAAAGCATGCTAAAAATGTTCCAACTATTTAAATTGATCTAATAAAAGATATCAGATTCACCCAAAGAACCTTGTCTGCATATATATATATATATATATATATATATATATATATATATATAGTTTATAGTACACATATAGAGATTGTGCTATATATTATTATATATAATATATAGCACAAACTATATAATGCACTAGAGAGAGAGAGAGATACAATCTATATCTATCTCTAGATAGATATGACATATATAACACAAACGTACGTGGTGAGAAGAGACCATGATTACTAGGATGATGATATTTTACCCCTAAAATATATCCTTGGCTTTAAAATAATTTTTCAGTCAGACACAAAAGGAACACCGAATGACTGTTCATTAAATGCTCACCAAAATTATTTTTTTTCCAGGTTTTATCACCATATATCTCTTTGCTTAAGGCAAGGGTTCCCAAACTGGTATGCATACCCCTAGGGTTACTCAAGACATGTCTGGGGTGTATGTGGGAGAAATCATGTAATGGCAGATTTAATTGTCATTATAATAATAATTGGCATTTAAGGGGTTAAAATATAATGTGTACTGGTACAGGAACACAGGCAACTAGTAAATGTGGAAGGGGGTACACAATAAAAAAAATTGGGAACCTCTGGCTGAAGGCAAGACTTTGTATGCATGAACTAAGTACAGGCAGTATTTGACTATTTTATCATAGTTTCATAGATGTTAGGAGCTGGAAGGGACCTTACAAGATTATCTGGTCCAGCCCCCCTGCACTTGGGCAAGAAAAACTGCTGGGATCAGGTGACATCAGCAAGGAGGGCATCAAGACACATTTTGAAGATTGTCAGGGTGGATGAATATACCACCTCTAGGGGGAGCATGCCTAAGACTGACAAGCCAAATGGAAATGATTATTGGCATCTTTGGGCAGTGATGAATGGCCTTACATAACACACACAATAGTATTGCTGAAGGTTTAGTGTATGTTTTTGTCCCTTTGCTAGATACCATAAAAAGGAGCCATAATTTTTGTATGAGATGCTCTGTGATTTTTAATAAGATGCAGTGGCTGTATCTGATACACAGCAACACAGTCCATCTTTTCTCATCTTTAGCAGATTTCCCAGTGTCCCCTAGTTTTCCAGTGCTGCTAGTTTTCACTGTTTCTTTCATCTTTCTAAATCCTTGTCTCTTAGAATCATGTTAAAATGTGAGAATTTCAAGCTTTAATTAAAAAAAAACTCCACCTCCCAACATTAGAGAGAATAGATTGAAAGCATGAGTCCTAAAGGATTTTAAACCTAAACTTAATATTTTTAAAAATGTTATGATTTTAAACCCATGATTTTTTGAGCCTGACTCATGATTCCTTATGTAGGCTAGGCAATACTAAAGGATAAGCACTTATTGTTTTGTACCAAATCAAATTAAGCTACATTTCATATGTGTCATAACTGTGGCGACAAATAAGGTAATGCAATATTATCCCATTAATGCAATGTTCAACATCACAGAAATAATGTCCAATAGCAATAAGCAGAATGAATAAAAATAGTCTGGAGCTACCCAGTGAAACTCATTGCCACACAATGTTGTGGAGGACAAAAGTGTAATTAGGGTCAACAAGGGATTAGACAAATATAAGGAGGATAGGTTTGCCAGAGGCTACTCAACACAACAGAGTGGAATGTAACATACTCATGGTGACTAGATGGGTAAAACAGGGAATCGATCACTCCATACTGTTTCTTATACTCCCCTCTAAAGCAGTGGTCTCCAGTGGTTTGATCACACACCCCTTTCAGTAAAAAATTTTTGAGCACGCACCCCCAATATATGTATATTTATTTATTTATAAATTATATACATGTACTACTGTACTAATATATTATGTACATTATAAAACATAGACAAAAAAGAAATTAAAAAAGGATGAGATAAAGATGAAATAAACAATATTTTTAATTTTTTTTATTTTATTTATTAATGGTACGAAAAACCTTTTTGCTCTCACTAAAAAAAATATTATTTAGCTTTCACCTTGTAATGTGGCTGACAAACAGCTCGTACTAGGAGTAAGAGAAGTGTCAGCTCTGCCATTTTCTTGCTATTTGCTTGTGCTCGCATTATTAGTATTATCTTCAATCCGCAGTTTCTTTGCAGGAATCTTTTTAAGCCACTTGTCCATTTTGTGAGGGTCCACTTAGCCGGGCACACGTAAACTGCAATATGTCACAATATGCTGAAAGCGAATGAACGCTTCTTCCCTCAGGATATCTCACGTACCGTACGTGACACGTGACCGTCTGACATACAGACTGAGGGTGCCAGTGTCAATCTGTATATTAAAAATTAGTAAAGCTTAATTTCTTTTTTATTTTTTTAGATAAAAAATAAATAAAAATACAAGTTCTAATATTTTCTTCGCGCACCCCAATGGATTGTCTTGCGCACCACACTGCTCTAAAGCATCCACTATTTGCACCATCAGAGACAGGATAGTAGGCTAAATGGATCTTTGGTCTGACCCAGTGTGGCAATTCTTGTGTTCCTATGTAGCATATAACAAAGATGTTCAAGGGATTACATTTCCTAGCAAGTGGCTAAGCTATGGTCAAAGTTCACAGAATATAGTAACGTAGTTGCATTTGAGTTGGTCTAATAAAAATTATCAGATTTACCCCAAGAAAACCTTGTCTGCCTATTCCTTATCTAGGAAGGTATCAGATAACTGAATTTTTCTTCTCTCCTAAAAAAACAATTATTCTTCTAAAGGCCATAGATGGCCCATAAAAAGTCTCAAAGCAAACATACAAACAAGAAACACAGCTGGGAGAAATTTGGTGTGTAGGGTTCCAAAACCTTACAAGAATATTATACCAATAGAAAGTCCTGTAGTTTAAGGTCTCAACCATGTTGCAATTAAATGCTGTGTTAGAGAACCTGAGTACAACAGAATATACCCTTACGGTGATTAAAACCCAAAGGAAATTAATTTCTCAACAATGTCCTATTAGGCAGAATTCCTGTCTCCGCACCATCACCCTAGGAAAGCTTTCCCCAAACTTCACTAATCCTGTGTGATAAACAGGAGGTCAGTGTTACATGAAAAATCAGCCTCTGCACCAACTATGCTCACTCCTCCTCGGGAAGGTCCCTGGGTTTCTGTGGCAATCCTCAGAATAAAGATGTTCAAGGGTTGGATTAATTATTTTTTGTACTTCTATCAGACCAGAAAAGAAAGTAATATTTTTGTACCTCTCCACTCTTGGATGGGACTGCCCAGAATACCCATTTCCCTCCTGCATTTATACTGGACCTCAGGGAGCCTTCTGTAGGACTTGAAAGGAGGAGGATGTGGGCTGTGCTGCACTGGCACTCCAATCCCTACCTATGTGAAAGGGATGAGATTCCACACGTGGATCTTGGCATAGTGGGAGCAATTTGGGCATTTGCTTGGTCTTGAGGTGTAGATGTCTAGACAAGAACAAATAAATTCCTGATAAATTAGCTAACTTTCAATCTTTGAATTTTTACAAGGCTGATTCACGCTAGTA